TGGGGCGTGTGGCCAAGTTCCCTTTGCATTGGACCTCGCATCACTAAGAGCACGGCACCGGGCACTACCATACGCCCGCGGGTGGGATGAGCACCGAAGACGAGGAGGCCTATGGCACCCTCTGCAGATATGTCGATAGTTTCTTCCCTGCCCGGTGGGCCACGAGGGAGGGAAAGGATATTCTCGATGAAGATGGTTATCCGACCTTTGAGGCCCGACCTATTGATACGAAGGCGCTCGTGGAGTGCCAGTCCTTCGGGCAGGCCGCGAACCTGCTAGGTCATTATTGTTTTGTCTTGTTTGAATTTCTTTGCTTGTTATTTGCTCGTCACTAACCCGGGGTCATTTTATGCAGGTCTTATGGCTGGACGAAAGGAGAGGCTCCTGAAGCTGACACAGGATAAGAAGGTTAACAAGAGAGTGGTGCGAGCTCCTTAGGCGACGAGGATGGGCCCGCCAACTAGCCCAGGCGATGCTTCTGGAGGGTCCCCGGACGCTCAGGATGTCGAACCACATACTGACCTGATACCGAGGAAGAGGAACCAGGTGGAGAGCCAACCGGAGGTCGGCGAGGACTCTGGTGCTGTGAGGTCCTTCGGGTTTCCCCCCTGTTTTAAAGAGGAGGGTTTCGATGGCGTCCTTGAGGTGGAGGCAATCCTCAGTCAGATGACCATGGCTCCTATGGTATTGACAATATTTGTTCTTGTCCGCTCCGGGCTTGGCGGGAGCAGGTCGGGGACGTTTGACGCCGCCGTCCTTGAAGTTCGTGCTGGCACACTCCGCCAAAATGCGCTCGCGGGAAGCTGTGAGCGGAGTGTACTCGGTAAAATGCCCCGAGGGTCCCTGTTGCTCTCGGACTTCCCGGGGTCTGTCTTCTTTTCTTTTCTCCCCGGTTCGTCGAGGAGGAGGAGCTTCCTGGCGCGGGTTGCTGTTGGACCCGCGAGTCCTGGGGTCTCGGGATCTGTTGGCCGCTTCTCTCTCCTCATAGTCCATGTATGCCCGGGCCTTTTCGAGGAGGGCATCGAATGTTCTGGGTGGCTCGATGCCCATGGCCTTTCTGAATTCTGTGCCGGGGAGGAGCCCCCTCTCCAGCAGATATCTCTTCATATGGTCCGCGCAGGGGACCTGTATGGCTTCGCGGTTGAAGCGATTGATGAACTCTCTCAAGGTTTCATCCTGTCTCTGGATGATGGCCTCGAGAGCCACCTCGGTCTTCGGGTGTCGCCGAGATGCCGTGAATGAACTGATGAACTGGTTCTTCAGGTTCCGCCACGAGGTGATTGACCCCAGGGCGAGTCCTTTGTACCAGTCCATTGTCGCCTTCCTGAGGGTCGTGGGGAACAGCCGACATTTGATGGGCCCCCCGACGTTGTGATAGTGCAGCATAGCCTCGAACCCGTCTATATGGTCGACCGGGTCTGCGACTCCATCGTATTCCTTCAAGTGTGGAGGCTTCTCCATGCCCGGGGGGATGGGCGCCTCCATGATAGCCTGCGACAGGGGACCGCGGGGGTCGTCCTCGTCGCTCCGTTCCGGGGACAGAGATGGGGACCTGTAATACTGTCGGGCACGACGGTCCTGGTCGTGCTGGGTATCTCTCGAGCGTGGTGCTCGCTGGTTGGTTCTTCCACGCCCGTCTCCGGAGTGTCTTCTCTCCTGTCTTGCGGGGGCGCGGCCGCGTCCTCCGGCTTCGATGATGGGTTGCCTCTCTAAAGGGGGTCGTTTCCCCGATGGTCGGGGCGACGGGCTTCGAGAGGTATCTCTGTAATGTCTCTGCGGGGGAGACGGGAGATGAACTTCAGTCACTCGAGGAGGTGGAGTCTGGGGCCTCCGGTGCCTCCTCGCGGGTCTTCGATCGTCTTCAAGTGCCCTCAATCTTTCCCCTTGGGCGAAGATGAGGTAATTTGTCTGATTGATCGATGCGAACAACGCTCGGGTTGTGGCATCCGCCCCGGCGGGGACGGGGACTTCCTGAAATTGGGCAGCCCGATAGTTCGCGAGAGCTGCATCGTCCTCTTCGAGTGGCGGATGGACCGAGGAGGATGACGCGGTAGCTCCGTCGCGGTGGATTGAAGGCCCTGGGGCAGTTGACACAGGGGTGGTGTTGTGGTCGGGGTTACCGGTGTTATCCAGGTGTCCATTTTTATCCGCGAGGCCGTGGTTGGTGTCGACGGCACGGATGTTTTGCTCATCACGAACTTGGTCAGCCATGACGGTGGTAGTTGAGTTGAGCTTTGGTCTTTGAGTTGTTGCACGACGGGGAAGTTAGTTTTCCACAAACGGCGCCACTGATCTTACCGGATCAGACTTGGACCGTCACGACTGGCTCCGAGCTGAAGTTGAACGAGATGGGGGGGTACCTGCAAGGCACTCCGATGCTAAAGTAAGTAGCAGTACGAGCAGGCAAGAAAGTGTGTGTATGGTAAAAGAATGAATACCTGACCCTCTAAGAACAGAGGGTATTTATAGCCCCCAGCGCTGGGCCAAGGTCCCTTCATTGGGCCGGGCAGGTTTGCCCCAATGAGGGAACTGCCAGGTTCTACGTGTGTAGTGGGGACCCGCACGTGGTCTCCTTCCTGGGTGGTCTGCGAGAAGTACGGACGGACGAGGACGCGGTCTTTTCGGAATCCAGGTGGTGGTGTAAGGGTCATGGTCTGCCCTACGAGGAGTGCTCGAGCTAGGGTCGAGCTGAACTGCATGAAGTCGAGGCTGTCGCGGACACGGCTGTAGCTTCTTGGTCAGCGCGTCCCCCTGTAAAGGCGTTTGGATTGGGCCTTCATCCTTGCTCTTGGGCCAGCTCAGCCCGGCCCAGTCCAGAACAATATATATATGATATATTTTTGTTTAGGAGAAGTTACTATTAATATTAGTTTTTTCAACCGCACAATAATTTAAATTTTTATTCGATTTAATTGCAACTTTAGTCTCTCTATTTTATTTATTTTTTTTATTTTAGTTCTCTATTTTAAAAACTACGATTTTAATTATTTTTTTTAAATTTCTATTGAAAAATGAAAAAAAAAAATAGAGACTAAAATTATTTAAAAAAATAGAAAGACGAAAATTACTCATAAAACTTAAAAAAGAGACTAAAATAAAATAAAAAATACAAAATAGAAAGACCAAAGTTGTAATTAAGCCTTTTTCTTAATGAAAACAACGCATATGAGACTAAACAAACATATATTATGGATGTGTGAATATTATATATATTAGTAGTCAGTATTACTATATTAATAATTGAAACATTAGTGGGGGCATATCCCACATAATGATATAAATGGCTCCGTCGCTGCTTATAACCGCTGAAAAGGTGTCAGAATTTTATATTCCCTCTTAAACATTTGACTACAAGGTGAGCCCTATTTTTCTTATAGGCTTCTTCATGTTTTATATAAGAATAATAATGCAAATACAATTCAAACATAAGAAGTATTTATAGTATCTCCAAAATCACTTATTAATTTGCAGCATTTCCTTGAAGGAGACCATCCCTAATCTGCACAGCAATGTCTCTAACAGCACCTGGACCATGTGGTATGAACACAGATGACGATTTCGATGACGCTCCAATTTCCTTCATGGTGTCAAAGTATTGGGTCACCAACACCATGTCCATGACATCTTTAGCTGATGTTCCGGGTACGTTATCGGAGAATGCGAGAACACTGTCCCTCAGTCCGTCCACGATAGCTTGACGTTGACGAGCTATACCAAGTCCTGATAGGTACTTGGACTCGGCTTCTCCTTCAGCTCTCTTGATCTGCAATATCTTTTCTGCTTCAGCTTTCTCGTTTGCAGCCAACCTCATTCTCGCAGCTGTTTATGATATCGCAAAAAAAAAGGATTAGAATATAACAACAACTGCTATGATCAATCACAATTTTAGTGTTTATAGTAGAAGTGCATATTATATAAGTGCTTTACTAAGCAAAATGTTTTTCTTGTTGAGGAACATGAACTAGAATATATTACCTGCATTGATCTCATTCATTGCTCTTTTGACATTAACATCAGGCTCGATATCAACAATGAGAGTCTGGACTATTTCATAACCATAGGTCGACATCGCCTTCTCAAGCTCATCTTCGACAGCCTTTGCTATATCATTCTTCTGCTCAAAGACGGCATCCAGCTCCAACTTTGGCACACTGGCCCTTATAACTGAAACAATGCAAAAATATTATAACCTAGTAACAACACTTTGTACTAAATCGTGTATCGTGCGACAGTAGCAGTTTGTTAAAATTCTGCAGAAAAATCACAAGATGCATGCCATCAAAAACATATGATTGAATCTGTTCCCTTGTGTTGGTGAGCTTATAAAAAGCATCAGACGCTTTGTCAGCCACAGCGCGGTATTGGACCGATGCGACCACATTCACGAAAACATTATCCTAAAAAACAAGTTCATGATAGTCAGATACTAACAAATTGTCATATAGTAAATCACATACGTAATATCAAACCACCTTTAGAAAGCACAAATTTAACAGTATTATGTTTTCTTAATCTTGAAGTAAAACTTGTTTGTTAGAAGTGAGAAGTGAAATTTCCTAAAGCATAAATCCAAAGAACAAAATTGATCACAAAGCATAATAGGTGGAGTAGTAAAAAGAGAATCAATTTAAAGACCTTTGTTTTCGTCTCGCATTTAACATCAAGTTGCTGGACACGAAGCGATAATCCACCGGCTATCTGGTAACCAAAACACCAAGGCAAACAATGGCATCCAGGTTCCAAAACATCAATAAATTTTCCAAATTGCTCCTTTATAGCAACATTCGACTGATCCACTTGGTAACATCCCAAACATTGACCCATTTTTTCTATCCTGCAATCGAATATAGAGATGGATATACTTGATATAGAGATGATTATAAGACATGTTTGGGTAAACAACTTAATTAAAGCACTTATTCAATATATATTCATCATATCAAAAGTTAATCTCATAACCTCATAAGTGCTTATTGCATAAATGACAATCTAATTTTCATATGTTTATCTTAACAGGTTTTTTAGATAAGATCAAAAGTCCTAATAAGCAGATCAAAAATCACAAGCTAAGACATTTATTTACAAAACTAAATCAAATTTTTACTTTTCCAATGTTCCAATTTTTAGTTTCTGCTCCAAATAAAGAGAAACAGCAAAAAGGTATCAGAACAAAATTCAACTACCAACCCTTCAAAAACAAAATCAGTTTCAATAAATACATGTAGCCCCAAACAATTCATATTGAAGACATGTTATTACATTCAATTACTTTTATTATCCTGAATCATGATCGGTGTCTACGTGTTAGTGTTAGTGTTAGTGTCGTGTGCTATGTAGCACTGACACCTCTGAAAAAAGATGTGTCCATATCCGTGTCAGTATCGGACACGTGCCCTAACACTCGTGATTATGTTTAGTTTAATCATTTTTTTAAATTATTACCGGTGACGCCGTGTCAGTGTCAGTGTCAGGATCATATTAGTGGTGTCCATTTCGAGGTCGTGTGTAAAAAGCTAACACACTTTTTTCATATTATTGAATCTCTTCCTATATTACCCTTAGAGCTATACAGAATAAACACATCCAAGGAACTTAAGCACATAAGTCCATAAAACCCAGAAGCATAAGAACACGAATTATCAATCAAACCTTAAAAGCCACAAAACCAGAAACAAAAAAACATCAAAATGAAACTAAAAAGAGTCACAATTTTAGGTTCAAAATCTCACCACAAAAATTCAAAAGAAACAATTTTGAGTTGAAAACAAAACAACCGTTTTGAAATTAAAATTAAAAAAAAAAAAACCTAAATTCAAAGTGATTCAATTTTCTGAATAGCCAAAAAAAAATAAAAATATGATAGAGAATTTCACCTTCTTGTAATTGCAGCTAGAGAGATAAAAGTTGAAAGTTATGAGATGCAAAATATGAAGTGATTCTTATATATACACGAAAAACTACAGTAACGTATTTCGCGAAGCAATTGATCCGAATCTATCTGTTATTGAAAACGATATTTTTTTTTTGTTTTATGTCCCTCTCTCCGGTTTTCTTAATGCATATACGTGTGAAATAATAAAATTTTTGTTTTTAAAACTTAAATTTAGTTACCTTAGTTGTTTCAATTGGCCTTGAACTAGAGAATCACACCATCGAACTGCAAAAATTGTCTTTTCTCCAATCAGTTTTTAATTTGGGAGGGAACTCTCACTCTAATTGTGAAACACTTTTAATAATAATTTATAACAAATTCATGCGTTCCCGCGAGTCTAGATATGAGACACGTGTTATAGAGAAAAAAATGCGTTTAAGTTATAATATGAGACACGTATTATAGATATGAGACACGTAAATCAGATCATCTCACTTTGTCTTTCAAGAACACCAAGCGCAACCCTCAGCCTCCATGTTAACATGACTATCGACGGTGCAGTAAGGGGACGTCAAAGGTTGGAATTATGAAATTTGACATTTTGCATGTTTATTTCATTAAATTGTTATGCTGAATTCTAGCGGCGATGATTTTTGTGGAGTGTTATTTGTCAGAGCGATGAAAGATTTACCTCTGGATATGCAATGGAGAATAGTTACCAGAGTAACCTTGTTATCAGTGGCATTGGAGAAGACCCGATTCGAAGCCGAATGGAAAAAATGGGAAATTGCCACAGCCCAGACTTTGAAGTCGAATGGTGAGAAAGCAGTTGTTACTGAAGACGCAAAGAGAAAAAGAAAGATAGGGAATCTTTGTGAAGTTGTAAATGATCATAGTCAGAACGCTTGTGTGGGTCAAGCATTGAAAAGGGCAAAAGGTAAGAAACGTTTATTAAAGAATATCAAAATGATTATAAATCGACGCAGGTAGTAGAGATGATAATTTAGGATTAACAATTTTTATTGTATGCCGGTTGATTGAATGTGGGGGATTGAAACCAAAAGTCTATAATAGCAAGGGGAAAACGGTTGCAACCGTTAAAAAGTGTTGCCGTCGTGAGCCTGTGGTAATCAAACACAAGAATGATCATAGGTATTTCCTTTGGACAGAGGAAATTAATTGCGGTAACACAACCGCCAAAAATGTTTTGGTAAGTATGGTAACATTGGTATTGATTGTTAATAGTCATATAATTTGATGTAAACTCCCATGTTTGTCTATAATGTATGCCTTATGTTCTGTGCAATAATTCCCCCAAGAAGTTATAAAGAAATACTTGCATGAGGGTCATAAACGTATTGAGCTCCGTGATTCTGATAAAAAGAAGATATATCAGTGTGAACTGCATTATGCTAAAAGAGAGTATTGTGTGGAGAGGTCAATTGGTAAGGGGTGGTATGATTATGCAAAGGACAGATGTATTGGAAAAGGGGATAAGCTTGCTTTTTGCATTCGTGATCGTCCATCAAAGAGGCTTGACCCTACCGTGCAAAGGGTTGTTGTCACAGTGATGAATAGATCTTCCCTTGGTTAAGAAAGATAGAAGTGTGGTAATGAAAGGAATTCAATGGTGTTTGGATGGTGTAGTGTTTATTATTTTGTTGTTATGTGTTTTGATGTTTATTTTGTTAATTTGTAAGGAGCATTTAAGTTGCTTAAAGTGCTTTGCTGTAACACGTTATTTTAAGAAATTATATTATGACTATTGTGTGAAAAATCCCTTTTTAATTAAATGTATAAAATTAAAGTAAAAAAACAAAGTTTAAAAACTTAAAAATAAATATTATAGGAGTCAATTTGATTTAGTAGGTGTGATTTAGAAAGATAAGTGTAAGTATGGATAGATAAGTGTAAGTATGGATAGAATGGGCCACATGCCGATCAGCTTTAGTTAATGGGCAAAAAATAGTATGATTATTTTTTATATAAATATGATATATTGAAGAGATAAGGTTGACAAGATACATTAGAGATTGTAAAAAGTTATTTGCGAGGGAAAAAGTTATGGTTTTAGAGGTCAGTGCCTATTTACTTCCATCAAACGATGTTCAGCACCATTGATAATATCCCCATAGAAAGGTATAATCTGATATTCCTTGTACCATAGATTGGTGTATCAATATGTTGTTTGTTACATATATTGATATGCTATGTTATTGAATGTTATTTATTTGCATAATCCTTGAATATTTACAAGCATAAACTATTTGAAGAAGAATGAGTATAGAAAAGGCAATACGCCAGGACATGGAAGAAGCTCGAGTTGCTAAGGAAGCTTTGAAGAGTGGTGAAAAACCAATATCTAGAAGCCATGTTCATGGTTCCTTGAAAGGTAAAGAAAAATAATATGGTTCATCATTTGTTCATGCTTCAAAGTCTGATTGCAAACTCAATACATTCGTAGTTGTAGATGGTGTCAAATTTGAAGGAAAAAATGGGGGTTCATCTGTATTAGGATGCCACGAACGTGATAAAGGCAGAGAGTTTAAGAGTAAAACGACCGTCTTTGCAGAACCCTCCAATGTCTGGGAAAATGTTGCTGACAAAAGAAAGACATATGTGACAAATTTCATTGAAAAAGATAAGGATAAAAAGGATGGTAAGAGAGTGAAAGGTGATTGTGGTGTTGGAACTTCTCACATATCAATATCCTCAGACACTGGCAGATATATATATGAATTGAACTAAATAAAATAGTGAATATATATGGTTATTAAATGCAGATTTAGAATGTTAGTGTATAAGTGAAATTTAATGATTCATGTAGCTCTGAGGACGAGGATAGTGATATAGATCTGGAAAACCTTCCAAGCTATGCTATATGGAAAATGGAATAAAAAAGCTAGCAAGAAACCCAAATAAAATGTGTTTGTAAGTAGACCCATGAAATTGCAAAGTGTTATTGTTATTATATAAGATATATACTCTAATATATTGAAATGCATTTCCATTTTTTTTTGTAGCAAATCCTTCATAAGGTGATACGAAACTTGTTGCACAGGTCTCACAGACGTGTAAAGTTGGTTGATTCGAGTACTGGAAATAGTTATGACTGTGAACTTCGTGTAGTTGAAAGGAAGTATTATGTTGAAAGGTTTTCAGGTGATGGTTGGAATGACTTTGTTAGGGACAGGCGACTAAAGAATGGTGATAAGGTCACGTATAGAATCGACGACCTCCCCAGTGAAAAGGTTGTTGTAACCGTCTTGAAAAGTTGAATAATTGTGTTGCCAAGGAAGTTATGGATGTTGGAGCATGAGGAATGAATTAAGGTTGTTTTGGATTTGTCTAAGAACATGGTTTGGAAATATTTTATAATTTGCTATTAAAGAACTATGAATTTAGTGAATATAATGTTTTTATTATGGCAATGCCTTTTGAATTAAAATTTGAAAATCAGTAATGTAATCATCATGCATTGGCCTTAATAGTATTTTGTATGGTATTTTAAATTAGTTTCAGTTATGGTTGGTGAAATTCTGGTATAACATAACTCACATGTCCTATGACATGATGAGACATATGATCTGACTTAAACAAACTGGAAAGAGTAAACAACAATATATAAAACAATACTGAAAAGAGTAAACAACACACCAGAATTGTTAACTCAGTTCGGAAAAACTCTCCTACTCTGGGGGCATACCAAGCTAGGGACAAGTCCACTATGATAGTATCAATTCATAGAACCTACAACAAATATACCAGTTTACAGTCTACTCACTTAATCATTACCCGTGCTATACTTGTATCTAAGACTCACCTAGATATGACACCATCCTCAATCCCTCTTCAATCACAAACAACAATTGGATCAAAACAATTTTGAACAAACATGAAGACACACTTCCATGACAATACCTAGCTAAGACCTAAAGCTAAACTCCACCGTTTACAAATTTACTCATAACTAAGAACACAACTTGGAGTTGCTTAAAATCTTCCTCCAAGAAAAATACTCAATTTATTACTTCACAGCTTCTGAGTGAGAACACAATGACCATCTCAAAACCCGAGTGGTTCACTTAGACCAACGTCCTAGAGAGTGGCTACAGACTCAGCCCTAATGGTTACATCTTTTCAAAACACGGCTAGTACAAATCCTAGGTTACAAAGCTTCTATTTATAACCTATTTCCAACTGGATTTGGGCCTTCAAAATACAACATATTCGTTGTTAGAAATCAACAATAACTTTTGCTATAAACAAGGTCTTCAATCATTAGTTTCCTAAAATATCTCCATATTTAGAAACTATATATTATCAATATTCTGACTTGACCTTTAAATCAAC